TGGCAACGGGAGTCCGTCCCGTAGCCCCGCCCGAAGCCAGAAGATTGAAAAATTTCGGGCGACGGGCGGGTCTCGGGCATATTTTGAAGAGATTCGGGTGGGCCTCGGGCCAATTTTTCGGCCCGCTTGCGACCTCTGGTTGCAATGTGCCGCAGCTGAATTGCGTTCATTCGTTTTTGTCTCCAGAAGGCACTCGTACAATTTGCAATAAAATTTCATTTCATAAAACATTTGTGCCACCACCTAGTGGCATCTGGTTCATTTGACTGACGCTGCTATCCATATGTTCGCAGTACATCGCATTTGTGAAATCAAATAGAACATATAATCTCAATGGAACGAACAAATAATCGAATCCAAGGCAACAGATCTCTCGAATGGCAGATGCATCCGTATCTTTCTAGCCGAGTGGAAAGCCTTTTCGAGAGGATATGAAGAGGGAAGGAAAGAAAAACTTGAGATTGAAAAGTAGCAAGCAAACATGGTTTATCTTGTGCAAATGGCACCCTTCATCCATCTAACGATGCAACACTGTTAACAAGAGTTAGCTTCACATTGTGAGTGTCTTGTGCATAAAATGGTTTTCAAGGCAATTAAAAATTGATACCAAGGTAAGCAAAAGACTTCATTATCTAGCTCATTTTGCTCCCCGATAAACTGTTGTGTGTTTACGTCCATCAAATTTGATGCTGCTTAACGAGTGCAACAAGAAACAACAATATCTTCCACGCCAATGCATACCTCTTGGCTATGGCACGAACAAGTCAAAGCAAAATTTATGGTCAATTTTAATTGGACGCAACCATTTGATTTAGTGCCACTTTCTAATTGTAATCGACATCTTGTTTCCACAGCCATTGTCAGCTAATGACATTCAGTTCGAAAGCTGTTTCACTTCAGTCAAGCCATTCATTCAGTGCGATTACACAATTCGCCAGACCAACACACAAATCGCTTGCAGTTTACAAGGTAATTACATTTTTCCTCGCTAAAAATACAGCAGTTGCCTTGCGTTCTTAACAGTATTATCGTAGCTTACCAGGCTAAATGGTTTAAAAAAGCATCATCATGTCAAGAACAGAAGAAATCTTGAAAACCGTACCACTCTTTTGTTTTATTCATCCAAGTACCAGGAAAACGTCTTAGTTTGCATTATCAATTTTGAATATATTCTATTCAGCGTATGTTAAAAGCAATTCATTTTCTTGGCACTGTCACCGACTGAGTTGCATTTTAAAATTAGATTAAAATGACACGATGAGATTATAAGATTTTTATACGATAAAATAATAATGAAATTCAGTTTTTCATTGGCAAATTCATAAAATGCAAGGAACGATACGGAAAGTGATGTGTCGGTGTTGTTTGTTCCTGTTGAAAGGAAGCACAATATATCCGCTTCGCTTTACTCGCTTTCTGACTTTCTGTCCATTAAACTACAATATTATACATCTGTGTTTGCAACGTGGAAAAACAATAGCCATGACACAGTTCCATGGGTCTTACTAGCAACAAACGAATGAGAAAAAAAATAACGCTTCATTCATTTAATACGACATTTATGGTTGTTTAATGGCAAGCGCATAGAGCTATTGTGTGTGTTCCACATTTACACACATATTCGAGTCACATGATTATATGGCCGGTGTGTGTGTGTGTGTGTATGCCAGATACACAGAGTATGCAATATATTATCTATAGCGATGTATCTTTTAGTTCGAGCCCCACATTCATGGATCTACCGTAAATAATTCTGTAGATTGCTATTTCGTGTGGAAATTTTGTGTTCGTATGATAAAAGTTCCTTCGTTAGACAAATTGCTCAAGTGAAAATTGAAGATGATTCCATTTTCATCCGAATTTATTAATACCGTATAGAAATTGCATAGTGTTTGCATCGACTTTGGATTAGTGTGTCACAAAAATTGTACGGAAGGAAATCAGCATGAATTTCGTTCATATTTTTCGTAGAAAAATTTACTCGTTGGTTACCATGGATGGAGCAAAGACATGTTTGTGACAATTTTATTTATTGGCAATTTAAGTTTCATATGCTTTTCCACAGCATGCACATTCCGTTCATAACGGAAATTACTTGAACGCTACTGAAATCATACCTCTGCACATGATGTGTTGTCAGTGGGGCGGTAAATTGTGCAAACTTTAATCTCGGTATATGTATATATTGAGACGAGAATTGATGGCAGCAGCATCACATCGAAATGATAGAGTTTGGTGTGTTGATGTGGGCGTTCGTCTATAAACAATTAGGAAAGTTGAAAATAGGACACCAAACACACATCTATAGCAACTGTGTGATATATAGTATAGATTTCCTATACGTCGTCGTCATTGTAGGTTTCTATACGTAACCAACGTAATGTAGACTATCGAACGAACGGTACATGAATTGGCGGAGTTGGCTCCGTGTTGGAAAACAAGAATATGCCGGCAACTTTTAGAAGAATGGGCTTCCCACTTGAAATTATTGCGCGTTGCAAAACTTCCTTATCGAAAAAAATGTATCCATAACACGTTCATGTTCCACACACACGCACAACACTGAACTGCAATCAGAAGGAAAAAAAAGGTGCTGTATCATGGTGAAATTGTCACGTGGGCTCGGAAATGTGTGGCGCAGCATGAATAATATTAAGAGGAAAATGTGCAACAAAAGTGTCTCGATGGATAGACGGTCATATAATTCACTCTTATTCCTTGGCATATGTTCATTTCGCACGACTTCAATGCGATCTCTTTTTCTTCTTCGCCGTCATCGTCGTCTCTTTTCAAGTCATCCATTTTCGCGATGAAATTAATGATAGCATTTGCGGAGGCGTTCACGCCAATGTTCTCTCTCTTTGTTGCTATAGTCAGCCGCGTCAGTGTGAAAGATTTATGCATTAACGCGAAATGCCACTGACTCGAGTGAAACAATCGACGAAATTGCCACACGGCTGCAAGGCCAACGAGAAAGCGCAAATCATTTTATGATACGAACATTACTTGAACTGGATGAAAAATACATGGATAGAGCAGCAACAACAAAAACCGGAGGTAAAAGTGATTTGTTACAAAAAGTTTCACAGACTTGAAATTCTAAGCACAATGGAATGGGGCATAAAAAAAGTAAATGAAAAACGTGAATGGCTCAAAACGCTTTAATGGATTTGGTATGATTGCCGTTAGCAATTTTCTGGTGAACGTTTCAATTGCAAGCCACTTTTTTCCCTCTCAATATTATTTATGAGCCATATTGTTGAATTCTAATCAATGGGTAGTTTTAGCAGCGCTATAATCAATCTCAATCCAATATACACACATTTTCAATTTTACAGCAATAATCGCAGTGTGTGTGTGCGTGCTTTGTGCAAGTGAAATGTATGTGGTTATGTCTGCTTGTGGTGTGATTTTGTGTGTGTGTGTGTTTTTTTTTGCTTGCGTGGGTTCAAAGATTCAGGATCCATGACAACAACCATTTCCTTTTATGTTGTTACCATGACATCTCGAACAAAGTTGTCCTTCTTTCTATCATGAATACTAAGAACAACAACTTTGAAACACTACACTTTTCAAAGACGTACCCATTTCTTGAGTAATTGAACGAACCAAATAATCTAGGTTAATAACATTCTCAATGGAAAATGAGCAGTGGAAATTAGCGAAGAAACCATTTTTTTGTGTGCCCAAATCTCATTTATAAACTGGCTCAAAAGAAAAGCACCCTTCTGCCAATTTGACCGAGAAAAAAAACGACGAAACAATTTCGCGCGTCAGTGAAAAAGAATTTTTCTGGGAAAATACGCATTTGCAACAAACACGGTGAGCTCATCCAATACATAAATTCCGACTTTGAGGTTTAGGTAATGGTTCAACACATTATAAATGCGACCTCGAGCGGCGGCAAATCATAACCACACCACATATAAATGCTGATGACTTAAACATGGTATTCGTTCAGATAGGAAGATTTATGTTATTATTGCAACACTTTATTTACACCTCCAAGAAAATTCACATCACCAAAAATGCTCCACAATGAAATTAATGTGCTGAAATGTGTAATCAAAAAGGAGAAAGACCAAATGAAATAAAATACAACATTGGGTATTATGCCGTGTTGTTTATTTTAACCCTCTAGTGCATACGTGAACTTATAAGGTTGGTTCATTTAAACCTTTCTATAATGCGAATCATTGATTATGTCACAAAATAATGTATGACAGTTTTCGTTGGAGAACACTAGCGCACATTTCTTTCTCATAAAAATTCTGTGTGCGGTCAACCAGTGTCAAGTTATGACAACATTTGTACAAGAAAACGACGTTTCCGTAAAAATAAATTATTTTCGTTTCGTGTCCTGTTTTTGAAACGTGATTAAATCGAATAAAATTATTTTGTTGACCTCAAGAATTTTTTTTCTGCTTATTTGGAGTGTTTTTAACCAAATTCAATTCAAGTTCAATGATTTTTTACAATTGTGCAACATTTGTCCGTCAATTTGCATACTGTTCTTATAAGTACAGCCATGCAATTTGGATTTCTTTTTGTTTGATATTTTGTGTGCTTGGTTTAGTGTGGAATTTTATTTTCATTTTATTTTAACCTATTTTTATCACAAATAATCCAGAAAAAATGATATTCACGAATTCCGATGTCAACATCACTCAATTTGCAAGCTGTTCTTATAAGTACAGCTATGCAAATTCGGTTTGTTCATATACTTCGCAATTTCCATATTGGTCGTAAATGCATGACTGTACTTATAAGACCATTTTGATTTTTGCGATTTATTGATAATTCCAGCATTATACCAGATTATGAATATTTTTTTAAGTGCTTATGAGGTAAAATAAGCATGGAAAAAAATTCCCAGCTCTGTATAAAATATATGCATTAGAGGGTTAAATTCTTTGAATTTCAAAACGCTATCGTTTCACTCTGCCATTGGATCCAATGGAATCTCTCTTTCTTGCAAGAAATAAAATCTCGGTACTCACATCGATAGCCAGATTATCCAGCGATGTGATTTCGAATGCGATCGGCATTTTAATGTGTTCATTTGTAGATACGGATAGAAAACAACAACCGAAATGTACGTTTCAAATGAATTGTAAGTCCAAAAACCGGCACATCACAACTGTATATAAACACACACACATATAAAATCTCTTTTCTTTTAAATTCGCTCTCTATTTTTCTGTATTTAATCAATAATAATCAACGATAACAAACGGTTCACTGAATGCTGATTGCGTTTTTCTTCTTCTATCTTTCTTTCTTTTAACTTGAGTTACTTTTTAATTGGATTGACTTTCAGTCGATTCATTTTTTTTTCATTACAGCAAACTAATAAACCGTAATAATTGAAAAGACGAGCAAAAAATCATTCCACAGTTGTTTGATTTAAATAAATATTGATTTCCAGTGTTCGGTATCGATCGATCGATTGGTGCTCTTTTTTCATCGTGGACGAATGTGTGTGTGTGTGTGGGGGTATAGCCCGTAATAATTTATAATGTTCAATCGGTTCACTTAGTTTACAGTGTATACACATTTAAACGAAAAAAAAGAACTGAACTTTTAAATTTATATGCTGATGTTCAACATCACAGAACGTTTGTGTTCGATACGGTAAAGTTTGCATTTTGTTTCCATGCGTTTAAAGTTCCCGTTCTTTTGTTGATTTTTTTTCTTTCGCCAAGAATCTGCTTGTTATTCTTTCCGTGAAATTTATCTGATGATGACCCACATTTTGTTGAAAGAACAACGAAAAAACATTGTCTTTCGCTAACAATGTTGCGAATGGAATTTAAACGGAAGTTCCGTACGAAAAACAAAAACCACTTGAATCGGTAAACTATTGAGAGAATCCATCCATTTAATTAACTGTGCATCCCAATATGAAAACACATCTCTATCTCTCGTACGTGTCATTGATTATAATCACGAAAACCACAGGAGAAAAAACACGCACACACACACACTCCAACTCCACTACTTGAAACAATTCCATTGATTGAATGCTTTTCGAGTAAATGTTTATAATTACAGTCGAAGACGAAGAAGAAGCAACAGCAGTAGCAGCGAAAAATCGTTCTGACTGTGTATGCTTTCTATAAATGGGTTTTCGCATGCTTCATCACAGATTGATGGAGCTCATTTTCGAAGCACGTTTCGTCGAAAATTTCATTCCTCGAATCATAACCGTTTCGATTAGGAGTCGAATCACAACATTTCAATGAGCTCATTCGTCACACTGTAACCAAAAACCTGTTGTGATTTGCTGATTTCCACTGAAAACGACTTGAGTTAATTCTTTCTCGCTCGCAAACAATAAACTCTCTCACCACTTATTATAAATATGTGCAGTTGTTTCGGTTAGCGACAGAAAATCTAGCTATGAATCTATTGCTAATGAAAAAATATACACATCGCACTTGGTTCACTTCGGACCGACGTGATAATTGTCAGATCGTTGAAAATTCGTTCGTTGATTCAATTAACACACACGTTGAAATGCTGAAACGTCGAGCTGAAGACAAGCGAAATGAAATCTGTCACGAAAAATCTCATCACACTGTGCTGCCTTCGGGCTGGATCTAGCATTTTTTCTATGCTTCTCAGAAGGCAATAAGCTTGTGAAAGTAACACAAGATTAGTTCTTTTTTTCATCAAATTTTCATTCACTTGTGTGCGGCGGCCGTTACAAATTTGAAGAAACCAAAACGAAGACGACGATGACGGCCAAGCGACATAAGACGAAGAAAATAAACGATGGAAAATGTGAAGAAATCGTGGCCGCATCAATTTGATAATAAACAATACCATTCGATGTTCACATAATCACTGAAACAACGACACCGTTTACATATCTACTGAAGTGTGGCGCACAAACATTGGTGTTATCGGCATGGGCCGAATATGCGATCGTGCGCGCCGCGTCACTCACGCCAATGAAAAAAAAAATTGTGAACACACGGACTCAGGAGAAATTACTCAACTCACACCGTGCAACCAAAGCAAGCAAGTAAGAAGAAAAAATGTAGTCGAAGAAATAAATACAACGTAACCAAAATGCGGAACGCGACTGGTTGCGAGTGAGTTTGTGTGTGTGAGAGAGTGTCTGTGTTTATGTCATGATAACTCGAATACTTCATCGTTGTTCATTTCGTGTTTTGTTTTGTTTTTTATTTTTATTTTTCGTGTTCTCCTTACATACATTGCCGTCTCTCTCTCTCTCTCGCGCACGCTCGCTACGTAAGTGTGATTTTTTTTCCACTGCTATTAAAGTTTATTTCATTTGTATGTACTATTTTATACGGTGACGACCGCATAAGATCGCGGCAAGGTAACCGCTCACACATCTGCATGCAAATATACCTCAATTAAGATGTATTGTGCACATGTACACTCACCAAAACACACGCACATCTAGCGGAATGGAACAGACCAAATGAAAATAATCGCGAAAGCGAAGCAAAACAAAGACGAGGAAAAAAAAACTACACAACACACAAAAAAGCAGCAAAATAAAAACATATGAAGGGAAATATAAAGAAGCCGAGAGCACACAATGAATAGCGGCTTGAATGAATCCATAAACAGAGAAAGAGAATGATGAACATTTGTTGTTTGGTTTTGTATTTTCGTTATAGCCGTTGTTCTTTGGTTATCATTTTCCATTCATGCACCGTCTTCCCCTCTCCGACCGAACGACAAAATGTGAAAATTATCGTTTGATTCGGGTCGGTGTGTGGTTTGTTCAAACTCTCATTTTCAAAATACCGTCGTAATTGATGCAAACAAATGCAGAAATTGCCCGAATTATCGTTGTGTCGAACGGCACCATAATAGCACCAGGCAACGCCGATGATCGATGTATGTGCATATGCAAAAGACTCAGTATGTTCAAAGTCTATTGTCACAAACGAACAAAAAAAAATACAAATGCAAATGAGTCGCGCACGAACAAAGAATACTTTTTTTCGTTGCTTTTCCTTCAGGTTTTTTTGAATTTCGCTTCGTATCGGCTTGGCTTGGCTTGGCTTGGTTCGGTTCTATGTTTATTATTTGCTCAATTTCTGACACGCTTACAAATTGCACGCAAATACTGATTGCATGTAAGTGATTTGGTTCTTTTCGTTGATTTATCACACTCCGTTCGATAGTGTGCTATATTTATGATTGAAAAGTAAAAAGCAAAAAAAAACTACCGTGTGCGGCCGCACGAGATTTTGCTTATGCGTATTTCGTATTCTCTTTGTGCTTGGCGGCTGTTGCCGCGCGCGCGCTCTCTCTCCTTATGCGCTGACAGCGTGTGACATTGAAAAACTAGAAACTGATAGGCTGTTTAAATGTTAACGAACAAAAATAAAACGTCATCAAGACAAATAAATATGGATATACTTGTATGACAAATTATTTATCGCTTTTTATCGAATCGAATCGATCTGTCATGCCGCCGCACTCAATTGAACTTGCAACTATTTTTTTTGGTCATTTATTGCCCAGCGATAAATTCACGATGATTAGCAGGAAAAGAAGAAGGGGAAAAAAAGCTATGAAGGGCGATGGGCAAATTGTAAATGATTTGTAATTTGAAATCACTTTTGTTTTTCCTTAATATGGTCGCATCCTTGACGTTAATCGAAAGAGCAAAGGCACAATCACAATACACACATATACCGTCCATTCTGGTTTCGGTACAAACTGTGCAAAATGCGTTTGTGTGTGCGCGCTTTTTCGTTCGTGGTTGTTGTTGTATCATTCAATATAAACCGTTCTTTACGAATAGACAAAACCAAAACACATGTTTGTATACAAACAAAAGATGATCGAAACACAGCATGTGATGAGCATATCATATATATGAATTTCTGATGTTATATAGTATCATACAGTACAGTATATATAGCCATATAGAATCATTTCAGTGGCTTATACACACACACACACACACACACACACACACACATCGTCTCGTGGAATTCACGCAGATGACGGCAATTATTTTTTTTTCAACTCAATCCAACAATGTTGACCATTGTTGTTTTTGAGCGAGCACATCCATATCGAACTAAAAATAAATTTATAGTCACAATCATACACGTGCATTCAACGCAAAAACTTTTTTTTGTCTCACAATGCAAGAATCATCAATAGAAAAACCGAAACGAATAAGAAAAAAAACACAGCAAAAGTGGATTGAAAATGGCTGTACAAAAGATACAATTGGATGATATTGAATTACTTGTCAATTCAAACAGATTGCCATAGAGATGTGTATTCGGTCGATCAACGTGACGAAAATAGAAAAAAAAACGGCTTCATCTCGTACGTTTACAGCATATGAGTATAATTGTGGCCTATTCGACTGTCATGCGGGCAAAATATCTAATTTGAACCCGTCAATATCCAATATCATGTCACACACATACACAAACACACAACACCCACCCACAGCAATGGAGTATGTTATCAAATTTGCTCTAATTTTCTTTGAAACCATTGAAACCATCACTAATACCACCGGATAGCCCTTTGACGTCCATTTTTTTTTAAATTCTGACAACCGAAAATAATCGATTTTCTGTCAAACATGGCAAAATCGAAACAGTGCAGCTGAATGGAGGAAAAAAAAACAACCCGCAACCTGAATTTGCACATGAATACCTCTGAATGTCGAACACAAAAACCCGAAATAAAAACCACAACCAAAACAACGAAACACAAAACAATTATGAACACACGACTTACCAATTGTCTGCTTGCTGTGTATTGCTGCTGCTGATGTTGTTGTTGTTGCTTATTCTGCAGTAAATTCACAACAATGGTGAAATTTATTGCTGCTCAGTTGCTGGCGTTTCCACTTGAAAAAGCAATTTTTATAAACAGCCAAATGCGGTGGTGGTGCTGCTGGAATTTTTTGCTAATTGCAAGCATAAACGAAAGTAACGAAACGAAAGAAGAAGAAAAAAAGTATGCACACAGCACTTTATTTCCGTTTTAATTCCAAATTTGAATCTTGGTTTTTATTTTTCTTTTCGTTGCTAAATTTTTTTTCTTTCCTTTTCTAATTCAAAACACAAACGAAAATGAAAGCACTTTTTTCTTGCAGAATATCAACGGCACAGGCATTTTTGAAGCACACGCTCGCACGCACAATCCGACAACACGAATCAAATTAGAGAATTAAACAGCACACTAAATGAATAATCTCTCGTTTTTTATTTGTTTTGCTTCAATAACAACTTGAACAATGATGAAGAAGCGAACGGTGAATAAATTCAGTAGTGTTATTTGATTATTATTCGAGAAACCAAAATCAATGAGACAAATAGAAAAAAAACAGCACACACACGGAATAAAGACACACACATTTATTTCTATATGGCTGTGTGTAGCGAGTTCGTATTTGAAAGCGAGAAGAAAAAAGAGTATATGCAATTGTTTTTCTTTATGTCTTTTGTCCGAATAAAATGTTCGCTTTATTTCTCTATCTCGCTGTATATTCACTGTCTTTTGTTTCGACAATAGTGCATAAACACTGTTTTTCCACTGCTTCGCCGTTCAATTGATACACTCACTGACTGTCAGCTGAAAATCGTGTTTCGTTTTTTTTCGCATTCGTCGTCGTCGTCGTCGTCGTCGACGTTGTCGTTGCCTTTTATGTTCGTTCCATTGAATTTTCAGACACTGATTTATATTTATTTTGACGAAAATTAAAACTCTGGCGCTGATGAATGCACAACAATAATGGCTAAATTGATTGGTAGTGCATCAATAACAAAAGAAAACATGACGTCAGATGGAAAATATTATGCGACGATTTGATTTCAATTGAAAATCAAAATGAAAAACAACGAAAAATTATTTTTCTCCTTCTTTGTTCGTCTGCGTTTGCTGCGAGGCGAAAATATTTGTTTTGACAAATTAACTTTTTGATTTGGAAAAAAGCCAATACGCACTTTGTATGCACACTGAAAATATTTTTCTATTTACCACAAATACACACGAAATCCAATTCAATGACAGCAAATTATTTACTAGAATCGTACTTTTGATTGTGGATGAGGTGCTGCTGTTTTTAGTCGAAAAATTCGATTTTTTTTTTTTACTTTTTTCCTTCCTTTTTTTCTGCATCTATTCACACAATTCTAAGTTTTCTGTGTGGCTTCGAACGTGTTTGTGTGTACAAAAATCGTATATCATTGCCCGTCGTCGTCGTCAAATAGACGTCTAACAAAGAGATTTCACACACTGACTCAAATACACTCGTATTCCGTATGTTTTAGTTTAATGTTTTGATGGGATTTCGAAACAAATGGTCGTCGTTGTCGTTGTCTGCTGCTATGACGCAGATGGCGCTGCACATATCTGACTAGAATTTATTTGTGGCGCAATTCACGACATACATATATGTGAATGAGACGAACAATATGCAATAAACGAAACATGGTCGTTATTGCAGCACCGCATACCACACCAACACATGCGTGATTACGAAACATACCTATACTGTAAGGAAAACGTAAACTCAAATAGAAAAAAGTCAAGTCAATTCAAACGGCGAATACAAATTCAAAAATATGTTTAAATTCGATTTATTAATTCAATGTTTCTTTTGTGTTGGAATTGATGAGAAGATATAAGTTTGTTTGCATTTATTCCATATTCAATGTCTTCTTGATGCGTTTGATTTCTTTGATTTGCGCTTCGATTTGGATATTTGAATCAGTTATTATCTCTTTTAGAACGGTTTCTTGTTTTGGTTGCAATGTGAGTGTCTTGGCTGGCTTATCCGCAGTGGCATGTTGTTGTTGTTTTTCCATTTTCTTCTTAGCTGCTGCAATGTTGTTCGCCAGATCTTTTGTCGCCGCATGGATTTTATTGACTTGTTCGCTGAAATTGCGTTCGGCCACCAATGCGGCGGGCATACGCAAATTGACCAATCGCAGGATTTCGTGCAAACTTTTCAGCAGCGCCTGTTGCCGGTCATTGATTTCCTCGTACTTTTCGGCCAAGTGTTCAGCATTTTCGCGTAGTTTGCTCTTTTCCTGCAACAATTCGGCCACTTCTTGTCGCTGTTGCTCATCGAGAACGCGCAGAATTTTCACACGATTCTCGATTTTCTGACGAACATTGTCATGCTTTGTGATATATTGATCGCGAAGCCGTTGAAATGCGTCCAACAATAATTCGATCGATTCTTTCGGTGTTGCATCTTTGCCCGCATTCAACTTTAGAATCGGTTGTGTTGTGCCCGATGACAAAATTTGCCGAACACTTTCAACGAATGAACCGGACGAAAATACCCTTGAACTAATCGCTGATTCGGTGTTTTCTTTTGTATTTTCATCCGATGCAGCCAACGATCGATTGCTTTGCAAAAACGATGGATTGGTGATGATGTTTTGGGTGACCACTTGGCCACTGCTCAACAGCAAAACCAATCCAGGCGGTGATTGTAGCAAGGAAAATCCAATGACTGTGTTCAACTTGGAATTGTCCAATGCTTTGGTGCACACAAGGTATTCGGCATGGGCTGCTTTGTTCAGCACGGAGTCGATGTCATAGTCGTCTGAAAGTTGAACGAAAGTTTTATTTAGCAAATTGAATGAATAATTTAAAAGAAGATAGATCAAGTTACCATTTTCCTCAAAATATCGTTGCAGCGTTGGCAGAAATTCGATGGAAATGGCATGTAGGCCGGCGATGTGATATGCGAAATAGCGTGAATCATTATTGATGTCAGCCTTCAAAAAAATCTGATTGTTTTCATCGTCTTTGTTCTCGTTGCTCTTCAGACCGAATTCCAGTTCCACAACTTCGACAACATTCACGATCCATTCGCACGGTTCATACTTGAGGCCGGTTTCATCGAAATTTTCCGAATTATTCAGCTCTGGATCGGCTTCGACCAAAATCATGTGAAACAATCGACCGGATGGTTCAGCAATAACCAAAGTGGTTGGATTCGATGGCAATGCGAGTATGGCGCATGAATCCAATCCATAGTTGTCCTTTGTGCCGGGATACATTGATAATGGGCCTTGTAGCCGCGGTTTTTCCGTGTCTAAACCAATTAATGCGATGTACAAGTTCCCGTTTCCCCACAAAATGACCAACGGCCATTCGACATTTTTCGCTATATTCTCATTTATCGTTGAGTCATTGTTTGCCGTGGTGGTGGTCGTATTCGCCGACATTGTGACACGAGGTGCTGAAATATCAAAGTCGATGGCTGTGTCACCCAGACTGTTTAGATACGGTAGTGATGATTTGGTCGGTGGCACTGCACACGGTGTCGGTCCAATTTTCCAAATGTGTTGCAATTTCACGTCATCATAGACACGAATCGAATTATTCGACAGCAAAACCATCAAATTGCAATCTTTCGGTGATGCCGGATGCCAACGAACTTGTTGTACGTTCACAAATGTGTTTGATGCAAAGTAATTGTCGTCCAAAACGTGTGTTGTGCACAAAATTCGCGGTTTTCCTTCTTTGTACATTCCATTTGGTCCGTATCGGCATGGGATTTCAAGAATAGCAACGCCACGGTTACCGCTGAGTGCCAAATATTGACCCTCATGTGAAGCTGTCACTTTGTTCACCACAAAATCCACCGGAGTCGATGGGATCAATGTTTGAAAATTCACATTTTCATCGCCTTTTGTTTGAGCCAGTCGCCAGTTGAACACAATTACCGTTGAATCCGACGGGTTCCAACCGAACAGCATGTCATCCTTACACTCGATCAAATTTTGTGTGTTCACTGTGGTGTCATTCGGAATCGCTTTTCGGAGTTGCTCAAAAAATGGTTGACTTTCAAAGCGAAACGTATCCGTACACGTTTTCGGCTTGCTCATCTTGCTCTTTCTTTTGTTTCGAAATTTATCGAACTAAAAACACTTTAACGAGAATTGATTTGAATTATTTTCTAAACTAACATCCTTTGGATAGACTCGACTTGGGAACAAACAAAATGACATATAGAAAATACCGCTCAAACGTCGTAAACCTTGTCAAGTTCTTTTTAGGTTAGTTTCGTATGTGAGAACAGCATTGGTTCACAATCGTCAATTGAAGGGTGTCGGTCGGGCAGTCTTTCTCTTTCTTTCTGTATTTGTGTATTAGACACCAAGTTTCATTTGCTTTGACAGATGCTTTGTTTTGGTTTTTTGTTCGTCTGTATTCATTCCCATGCATTGAATACAATCGTACGAAATCATATGTTTCACACTCTATTCTTATACTGCAATATGTCGTTCTAATAAGTGTGCACAAATAGAGCATGTGAATTCCGCGACGTCTACGAACACCAACCGAATATAAGCAATTTATTTTTTTTGACTTGATTTTTATTGAAAACAATGAATTTATAAAAACACTAATTGCCATTTATACAATTTGGACCATTCGAATTTGGATTTGAAGGCTTTACCTACCTATTTACGTACATAATATGGACAATAAGGAAATCGATTTATACAGGAATACAGCTTTACGATACTGCGGTAATTTTCATTTTTACATACACTTATTTCCCGCTCATTTTATTTTCGACTCAATAGAATTGGAAATTTTTCATTATGATGAATTTCAATTGCAGGGTATGCAAATGAAGTTGGAGAGGCATTACGACCGGTCATTCCGAAAAAAGTGGTTCATTTGAGTTACGGAGTGGCTATCGCTTATGTAATAGGTGATTGCATCGACAAAACCGTCAAAACCTATCAGGTAAAACGACGAAATAAAACACAATGAATTGCCAATTAAATCATTTTATTTTGTAGAATCCGAAAATTCTGGGTGGGCATCAGATCACAGCAGCTGCAAAAACAGCAGGCGATGTATTTATATGGCAAATGCTGGCTTCGGTCATCATTCCAGGTTTCATAATCAATCGCATTACGTGGGGAGCTGGCATCCTTTCGAAACGAAGCAAAAATTTACCTTCGATTGCACGCAAATGGTTGCCTACATGTATTGGCCTAGCGGCTATTCCACTGATTATTCGACCAATTGACAACGCCGTTGACCACGCCATGGATCGAACCTACCGCAAATACGTCTAATCAAATCAAACGATGTGCTTTGTGCAATGAATTAATGCTCAAATGCTATTTTATTCTTTCAACGCCTTCTTAGTTCTTAGTATAACTGCCAATATTTTGTGATTGTTTATTGAAATTTGTGAATTTCTTTTCCATTCCAAATCTCGACGTAATACAAATTCAATTTGTAGAATACAACCAAGTGCTATTCTTTTTTAATTCTAATAGGACAATTCTATTTTTCACTATGTTTACGTTAAATGTTGTACAGACATTTTGGGAAAAACTAAACACTCTATAAATAAACCAGTTACTATTTTCACTTCTCAACCTTGGTGGTGGTTTTTTCTTCAATTGAAATAAAGATATCTAAATTTATTTGAACTTAGTGCCGACTATATTATAATAGTAATGACAATTGCCATTTCATTCGATTCATCGTTCTTAATCGTTTCATACTTTGGGTCTAAACGGCCACATTATGACTTTCCTTGAAACCTGATTTGATATTGCATCAATTTATTATCCTTTCCAGATACTAATCATATATTGAAAAGAAAAATTCAGTCTAAATATGGATAAACAGCTGTTTCAGTGGGTGCCTTCCAGCCACTATTTACTTGAACACCACGATGATGGTAACGTCTACTGTAGTCGTAGGCTGACAACATTGAATTGTTGTTATTTTTGATTCGATCCATATTTTGAGAATGAGTCCAAACAAATGGCCAAATGTGACGATGATTTTTCGAGATCAGCCTTGAAATTGTATCGACCCTTTTGGAAAGATGTTTCGAACCGCGGCCGCCATAGTATCGACGACAATACAGACGTAATGATATGAAATAGAGCATTTCAACCAGCGAAACCGCCGAAAAACCCATGAATAACCCTAACAATCCGCCCGTGTTTGCTGTAACATTAAATTTGTTGAGTGTAATTAAACTGAAAATTATGCAAATTGATCATTATTTTGATGAAAATTCAAAATCGTTACATAGAAACTCTGTAAAGCCAATCAACTCATCTTTGACATAGCTTCGAAACAAACTGTCGGCATAAAACACTTGAACGATTGCTATGTCCCTTCTAAATGAAACGTAAAGAAAGGTTAATTTTTATCTTCGAATTTTCGGGCGGAAAAATGGAATTTCGAACAAAATAAAAATTACTTGATGACTTCGGCTGAAAAATTGATCAATTGATTTGTCGTTTGAAAATGTGTTGTGGTGAGCGGTGATCCTGATATTTCACCTAAAAAACTGAGTTCATCGCAGCCCGGCAGACAATTACACTTATATTTTATGTTGTCACCACGCTCCATCGATATTCGAACCGCATTGTAACATTTACTGTTGACGCGATTGCAAATTTTCGCATCTAGATTGATTCGCGGCATGTAGTAAATCACGCAGCCACACGTCTGAAAAAAGACATTTTAAGAATACTTTATCGATTAACCTAGTTTTAAAAAAAATGAGAGTAGTTAGATAAGACACCTGTTCGATAATTCTGCTGAAGCACTCCATTTCGCAGTTTTTCCTACTGTAAGTGCTGCAAGAGGGAATTTCAAAAGATTTCATGCTCAAAAGAATCGATTTTCGTATAATTACAAATGAAATACCGAAAATAGCTTAAATTAGACTCGCTTGAAAAGATGCATTGTCTTTTGTCAATGGGTATTCTACTGATTGGACGAGACGCAGTCTGTATCTTGGGTGTGATTACAATACGCGACTCTAGGCCGGGACTTATTAACTGTGAACATTTATTTTAGTTTTTAAAAAATTGTTAAACTATTTATATGTAGTTTACTGAAAGATTACCATTCCAAAATCACTGATCCGTGGTGTTTCCGTTGGATTATGCAATAAAATTTTAAAGCCCGCACTACTTGTTGACGAGCAGAAATAGTCGGATACGTCCCCGTTTAGCATAACGTATAATCCTAAATGGATATAAGTATATTATTGTTATTGTTGATATTCTTATAGTAATATATAACCCCAAAAATACCTAAATGACTGCCTGGTCCTATTTCGGTCACATGGAAATTGAATTAGAGAAAGAGCAATTTTGAGCGAAAGATATTTTTAAATTAGATACCAAGCAAGCTACCTGCTGATGGTCGTGGTGTGGCTTTTTTCTTTATATTCAAGTCGGCATACCCTTTTCCAGGTGTAAAATACCAAATTCAAATTTAATATAATATATGTTACAAATACCCACATTACCTTGTGTGGTACATTTGTATTCTTCTTCACAAAAAAAAAGGTATGTGTATATGATGTAATAATATTCTTTGCAGAAATAAAATGAAAAACATCATTGAACCTTTTTCTGGTGTCCAGTCAACGGGAATAGCTTGGTCGATAACATCGTCTTCAAAGTTACTTGAAGCACTAAGGAATCAACAATTTTCGTTGTTATGTTATAGAATAGATTTTTGAAAAAGGAAAAAGTTGGAAACTCAAACAAAATATTGATAGATCGAATATAAATAGACAGATCAATTACTTTGATGGATTCATGTAGAGAAATTCTGGAACAACTGAATTGAAAATGCAACAAAGCCCTGAAAGAGAAGAAAATGCAATCTAAAACTCTTGGAAGTCCTTTCCATTTCTCTTATCATACCTTCATCGGACAAAACGGTGTCGAAAACTTCCATGCACTGGAATGTTTCCAGCGCATATCGACATTGTAGCAACATTTTACTGCAAGGCTGTGAAATATTTAACAAGTATTGCTTAAAAGTCTGCCAGTCACGACTTTCTTTCTGTGCATCACCTTCTGCAAACGTAATATTTTCATACTCGTCATAGCAAATATTTTGCAGCCAAATACTTTGACTCGAACCTGGCGTGAATTTCGTAGCAACACTATTACGAGCTTTGTTGACATTGCAAATCGTAATTGCTGGGAATGGCAAGTCAGTTATCGATGTGCTCGTTGCACCCATCTGGAAAATACAAATAAATTTGACTTGATTCTATTGGACTCGTTCTAATACACGTCAGAATGATACTGTACAGTTACAATGACAGGCGTGGCATTCCACTTATTATACACATTCGAGATGTAATAAACCGATAAAAAGAACACCAACAAAAATGAAAGTAAGAAAAATATCCTGAAAACCAGTTAAACTCTTAGCATTTTTGAAATTAAATATCTATGGAAACAATTACCGTTCGAAGAGAGTTATGTTGCCGTTGGAAATGTATTTCATGCCATGCAAAGATGTACTTTTCATATACTAATAACGAGACAATAAATTTAAATGTTTTATTCGGCATTGCCAAAAGCTCCATAGCTTGACTACTTTTCTCTTTTAAATATTGGTTCCAAGGCTCCCCTGGTCACTTACCTCTCGTATATTCTCACCGCAACAAACATCTTCCGATGCTTTGATCCAAGTGCTTGAGTTGATTTGCTTGATTGGTTCTTTGACATTGACTGGTTTGATCCTCTTAATCAAATGCGGTCTGAACATGTTGGCTCCTTCTTCGAATTTCACTTTGTTTTCTTTCCTCCTCTTTTCGGAGTTTGGGTTTTGCTCCGAAATTTCACCGTATACTGATTTAGCAACAAGCGTCGATTTCATTTATATACTTCTTGTTGTTGGAATAAAAAAAAGTCTTTCGTTTTTTACTTGAATCAAAAAACGGACTAATGATTGCTTTTTATTTAATTTAATCAGGATGAAAGCCGTCCAATTAGGCGAATCTTTTCAAACGATTGCCCCACAATTAGAAAGAAAAATAATAAGAAGAGAAGGGTAAAGGGTAATTTGAACAGAATATTTTGCCTATTGAACAAAATGAAACTGCAGTGGGTTATGAACTATTTCAATTTCAAGCTAGTATTTATGCACCAGTCTCAAATTTAAAGCAAGTGGAACATTATTGGCATAAATCATTCCGACCTGAAGACAAGCTTAAAACAACAAATAAACTAGTTTGTTTTACTTCAAGGTATGAATCTATGAAATAACGTCAAAGCTTTTGAAAAGTGATTCCATTAATTAAATTCCCACAAAAGCGTGATGTGCTTCAGATTGTGAATAATTAAACATGATTACAATTGATTGCATAACGATGATAACGTTATGTACAAAGGAAATTAAGAACTAATTTACCGAAATGTCACATAGGGAAATACTACATTTTGAGGATATATCATCACTGATGTCGTTAATTATACGAAATAAATTAACTTCAAACGCATGCAAATGCATACAAAAACAGATGTACGCGTGCTATCAAATTTGTGCCACAGAAAATCATATTGTGGTTATTCCAATATTCCACACATGAAATCAAACTGTATTTAGCCCATATATGGGTGAACGATATTATTCTTGTGGAATTCCATGCGTCCAACGTTATTTGCCGCGAGTACAGACAACCTACTTCTGGATCTAAAATTCTTAAATTTCTTAAAAATCCGCTGAACTGCTGAGCGACGTCTTTCTTCCCCGCGTACATAGTTTTTGTATGGTCGAATAGTTGAAAAATAAATTACTTCAATGATGGAAAACAAGGAAAATCTCATGAACAATCCCAATAATCCGCCTGTGTTACTCAAGAACTCTGTAAATCCAATGAGCTCTGAAATGGAAAATATTGGAGGAAATTAAAGTTATACACACAATGTCTTCTACAAAACTCACCTTCTTTCTTTTGCGATCGAAAATACAAGTTTTTGTAGTAAACATGCAAGATTGATACATTTGGACCATTGAGACCTTTGGTTGCCAATATTGGTGCCTGTTAGAGAATTTTTGTTATTTTTTTTTCATTTCATGGTTTCCCTCTGTTAATATTTTATTTTAAAAAATTGCCTCTTGAGTAGAGGCGCCATTGAAACTTCAGCATCATAAGAGATTTCAAAACAACCCGGCAAACAATAATCGCATTTGAATTCTGGAGGATACAATTACGACACACGCATCATCGTCACCGAAACAAATACTAGTATCATTCTGGAAGCGAGGCATATAGTACAATACGCACCCGCAATAGGATGAATAGATTTTAGCATAGCATTCCATATGGCAATTGCCTCGGGAATAACTTCTGTAGAAATTTAAAAAAAACATCACTTGGAAAGACAATTGATACTTGACAAGAGACACTTTTTTCTACCTATAAAATGTGAGAAAGTTCTCATCTTCAAAAAGACATTGCCTAACAATGACTGGTAGCTTTCGTATTGCTTGTGTTGCTTCCGATATCGTTGGTGTTATTACAACGCATGATTCAAAGCCGTTCGAAATGGAAGTGCCGTAGTGTGGAATCCTTGGCTTTTCATTTGGTGAATGTAATAAAATTTTAAAGCCATAGCTGCTTGAAGACGAACAATAATATTCACTAATTCCAGCATTCAGTACAACGGACAATCCTAAAATAGATCATCAGGTCAATAATGCAATCTGAAGTTCGCACAGCTAGAAATATTGGACAACCATTGGCCAATTTTCGGACAATATATAAATCCATCCATATTTTCGGACAATTTTACTCATATCGTCTTATTTTTTGACCAACTTTATGCTAAATACTTGGAGGCAAGTGTCAAAATGTACTATAGTAGTAAGGTTCCCGAGCGGAAATGACTTTGCTTCTGAGAAACCAATTATCATCGGACAGTTTTGCTTCTTTTTACAGAATTTTTGTCAAATAAATATGAGTAAAATTGTTCGAAAATATGGATGGATTGATATATTGTCCGAAAATTGGCCAATGGTTGTCCTTGGACAATGTTACATTGTTTACACAGGCTCTGAACCAATGAATAGTCTTTGCTATCACGTGGAATTGTTCGAACCACACTCTTAACCGCCTGGTTCATACTACAGATGGTGACAGCTGCAACAGACAAGAAATAGATATGAAAAGAGTGTTCAAAGATGATGAAATAATTTAAGTGAATTCAAAATGCAGCAAAAAGTCAAACCCGGAAATGGTAAATGCCGAATATCAGTTGACTTTGAACTTAATGGGATATGAATAGAGTTGATTAGTTGCATGTTTTGAAAATTCCATTATGGAAAGTTCCATTCGAAAACAGTTTATCTATAACCCACCTTGAAGAAATTATCATCATTGGCGATGCTGAGTACTTGACATAAGCATTCATAATGAAGTACACGGAGAGAAAAAACACCACAAAGAACATAAACCCAAAAAATATGCTGAAAATATTAAGCCGATATTTCAACTTAGATCACATCTGAGTATTAATTTTTCATTAAAAAAATGTGTCACCGCACAATGTGATGGTGTTGTCATCGATGTATTTCAGCCCATGTAACGACGTATTCAAAAGATATTGCCGTAAATTGTCTCGACAAGTTGTGTCTTTACATCTCGGCACATCACTTCTCAGTCGTCGTACAAGTCGGTGTGGTATTTTTCTGTGCCGAATCAAACCAACATGAATCCGTGGGCTTGGCTGAAACATTTTTTCCGTGCTTTTCACTCGAAATCCATACGAATTTTATTTTAAACACGTTCAAGTTGTTTCAAAACGCAGAAAAAAAATTATTTTTATTCAAAAGTGGAATTTTCTAGAACTTCGATTCGATTGAAATCGTTGATCAGCCTTTCTGATCATGAAAATAGTAAACAATACAGCGGCTACTGGGGACTAAGTGCAATGTGTCATACTTTCAACGTTTGAACTAACACAGACGCATACTTGTTACAGCAAACTATGTGCATGATTCTCTATTTCTCCAACCAGTCGCCAGTTCTTGTTTGACGTTTCCTATCTATTTGTACAGACGATCAGAGAGGCTGCGTTGATAATTGAAATCGTTGATGATTGGAATCGCCCACTATAGAAAATCAATAAAATAGCTATATGAAAAATTAATCCATTGGATTATCAAATGTGTATCATATGCGACTCGCATATGGGCAGAGGAACATGGAAAAAATTGAGAAACAAAATGAAAAAATTCAAATTTCCTAAGGAAGTTAGACAAACCAAGACTTTTAATTTAAATTTTTGCATAAATCGAACAAATTGGTTGCATATTAGTCATTAGGTGCATAAAGATATTAGTTTAAAAGCTTTAAACGAAAAACAATCATTTGATAATTATCCTCAAGATGTCATACTACGGTAGAAAAAGAGTGACTTCATTAATTAAATTCCTACAATAGCGTGGTGAGCTTCACATCGTGAATAATTAAACATGATTACATTTGATTGCATAACCCTGATATTACCGTTACGCCCAAAGGGGCATCAAAAAGTAATTTAGTGGAATGTGTATTCATTCGACATAGGGAAATACGACATTGTCTATGGTTTTCAGAGCTACGAGTGCATTTGATGTCTCATCGGATTTCTTTTTGAAGCGTAGATTCCGCACTTTGTTGAACAATCGCTTGAACTTATGGCGACGCTTTTGCGAGATTCGAATGTAATTACAATATGGCCGAATGGTCATAAAATAAAACAATTCACTGATAGATATAACTGAGAAACCCATAAATAACCCCAACAATCCGCCTGTGTTGCTCAAGAACTCTGTAAATCCAATTAGCTCTGCGATGGACAATTTTGAGAAAATTAAAGTTACATACAAAAGTATTGTCGTCAACAAAACTCACCCTCTTTCTTTTGACTTCTCGTGGATTGATCTTTGTAGTAGATGTGTACCATTGCTGTGTCCGATGCGACCAATTTTCTGCGTTGAAGCAACGGTGACCGTTGCAACAGTGGTGAAAGAGACATTTCAGTATCATAAGCCAATGCAAAGCATCCGGGGAGGCATTCACATACGAAACTCGAATTTGTCTTTGATTGCAATTTGCGATTGACCTCGGTAACGCAACCATTGTCTGATCGGCCGCAAATTGTTATATCGTCATGAAAACGGGGCATGTAATAGAGTACACAATTGCAATTGGATAAAAGGATCCTTGCTTCACATTCCATCTGACAATTCTGAAAAAGTGGATCGATGTAATAAGCGAATAAGAGCAAACTGATTTTCAAATGCCAATTTATCTTACCCTTCTCGAATATGTTCTGAAAATAAAGGAAGAAACACAAGTAAAAGTATCGATTGAAACGAAATGTTGACGTACCAATACTTACCTATAGAATGTAAGATAATTTTCAGACTCAAACAGGCATTGTCTGATGCCGCGTGCAACCTTTCGCACCGAATACGATGCTTCGGATAAAGTCGGTACAATTACAACTCGTGTTTCAAAGCCATTTGCCACGGCCGTACCATAGTATGCAATTTTCGGCGTTTCACTTGGACTGTGTAAGAGTACCTTGATGGGAAAAAAGATATATTTAGCAGTGATGAACCACGTTTTTTCTATCACTTCACTGACTTTAAAGCCATAAGAATTGGTGCTTGAACAGTAGTACTCGTCCTCTGCAACATCTAACACGAGACTTAATCCTGTCACAAAAAGGGTGGTTGGATTTGAAAAATATTCTTGAAACCACATTTTTCATGCATTAAAAATATAGAAATATTGATTTTTTACCCATACTATTGCCAGTACCTGAAAATAATTAAACCATTTTACAATTATCTGAAAATTACAACCAAAAAGAAGATTTTATTTGCTACCGACGGCAGGTCGTGGAACTCCCTGATTTTTTAAATCGTCATCAGAGTACCCTTTCTCTGGAGACCAATCAATATCTGGAGATGTTATTTCACTAGCGTTTAGCTCCTGTAGTTCACTAAAATGATATTTTGTTTGGTTTTTTTATATAAATCCTGATCAACCAATAAAATTTCACATTGAAAATGAAAAGAAAAACGTACTCATACTTGTCTTTCATCGTGAATCTTTGACTCAACCCATTGAAAATGCCTTAAAAACAACAAAAAATTCTACTTTAAACGAATTGATTTTCGAATAAAAGATGTTTGGTTCATTTACAACACAATCCTTCATCAGTTAAAATGCTCTGAAATATGTCCATACATTTGACTTCAAACCCACCGTACCAACAGGCCACCATCATCTCTTCACACGACTGAGACACCTTTGTTATGAATTATATTTTTAATACAAGTAAAATGCGTAGAAAATTCTATAGAAAAAATACAAATAGTTTACTTTCATCAAAACTCGTTTGAAATCGATCCATTTCCCTGGTTTCAGAGTTGTGATATTATCATCCACCGATTGTGTGCATAAACTTTGCACCAACGAATAGTCAACTGAGTCGTATGGCAGCTGTACAACAGCCGACCTTCGAGCTTGATTCATATTACACACCTACCGAATATGGAGTTCAATTTTTGAAATCGGTTGAAAATTTCATTGAATTCCTCAATTTTACATACCGTTACAGCTGGAAAGGGGAAATTTGTAATTGGAGTTGCAAATGCACTCAAAGTGATGATCATTGGTGAAGCTGACCATTTAATCCACACGTTCGTGATGAAATACATGGAGAAGAAGAAGACCAACAAAAACATCAGCCCAAAAAAGCACCTATCAAATATTAAACTTTAGTTTAGGAAAGTTCTTTTTGGGAGTAACAATGCGATCAGACCTTTCGAAGAGTGTAATCGATCTATCTCCGACATATCGCAAACCTACAAAACCAATGCCCGATAAAAAATAAAGCAAGTGTTTCTTTAACTCTATTCTATACTCTCACCATGCAGGGTGGTGTTGACCAAATATCTATGGAAGAATGAAAACAGAGTATTGGATAAAAAGAAGAACTGGTGAACAAATTCCTTTTTTTCTACTTGAAATTAGGAATATCTCTTAGTTTTGTGTCTTACTGATTGAAATTCTCCTGACAAGTTAAAACGAATTTTCGTTTCGTTTCACTGTTTATGGATAAAATTCGGTGCTCGGGTTGTTCTTTCTTTTTGCGATCAACCGAATATTGTAACTCTGACTGGAACAATCTGGTTCGAAATGGCTGTGAATTGAATGCGTTTATCGAATGCATTTTGGAATTTAACAGTTTCATCGGTTTCAGCTCCATTTTATATGCACGGGTAAGCAAATAGAATACGGACAGAGTCATAAATTTAATGTTTGCACATTCAAACAGTCAACATTCAATGTTCAGTGTCATCACTGTTCTGAATCTAAGCCAAACAAGTTGGGATTTGCTCGTATGAATCACAATGTTTGCGCAATACACAACTGTAAGCAATAATAAATAATAAAACTTCAAGTCTACCTTTGCCGTCGCATGACACGTGAAGCAAAATTATGTATTTTTTTCTGTTCTGAGCAAACGTGCTGCACTCAAAATTGATTTACTATCCAAACCGTTGATAAAGCCTATTGATCGCGATAAGAAAGTCAGAACAACAAAACAATTTTTCTTGTATATTGCATAATAATTTTCACTGCAAACAGAACCGTGAAAGGTCGTGACCAATGATTAGCGAAGAACTGGATCAAGCTTACTGTTTTGACTGAGCTGTATTTTCTGCAACATTGTAACATTCGAGAAAAAAAATTGTGTGCACCAAGAAAAAGGATTATTAGTTTTTAATGACATCGAACCCTTTTTTTGTGTTTGTAATGGTCAAACAACCGGAAATGCATTGGTTCATTCAAATGTTGGAGTTTTCAGCAGAACACGCGCTTGAACTTGAAAACAAATTTCACGAAAGATATTCAAGTAGCTGTAATTTATGGCTGTTGTAAAATGTAAACTAATTAAAATTTAATCACATACAATCGCCAACATGTAGTTCATAAATTATTCAATTACAAGCTTTATTAGTTTAATTTCATGCCGCACAAAAAATTGGTGAAAAAATAACTGTTTCATTTGATATGAGGAAAAATCATATTGTTCATTATGGCTGGATTTCAAAGCTCGTATTTATGTTTGCCTGGCCTTTCAATTTGATATTATTGAATCACCGAAAAACTCGATGCATCGATTTAGGACGCTTCTGTGGATCCTTCAAATACTGACAATATGGTCGAATCATTAGAAAATATAGCACTTCAATGATTGAGAAAACACTAAATCCCATGAAGAGTCCTAAAAGCCCGCCCATGTTAGCTAGAAAAATATTTGCTTCATCATTTTATCATAAAAAACAGACAAATCACATTTGAAACTGTCATTCAGTCCTAGCTGCAACTCATCCTTCACATTACCTACACACTCGGAATGTTTGCGGCCACAGATCGTAATATTGTTTTCGAGTCGTGGCATAAAATACAAAATACAATTGGAATTTTCCAGATAGATTTTTGTCACGCATTCGCTTTCGCAGTTTTCCCTAGAATATACGCTGAAACGATCATCATCGACGAAATTTGTTTGATTAAGTAGACATAAATTCAATATTAAAAGTAAATCAAATACACACCGATAATATGTTAAGTAGTTCTTGTCCTGATAAACACACTGCCGGATACGCATTGGCGTTTTTCTAACGGCATCAGAGGCTCCAGATATCATTGGATTGGCAACAATTCGAGACTCATACCCGTTTGCAATTCCTAAGCCGAATTCATCGATCTGAGGTAATTCGTGCGGACTGTGCAACACGACCTTGAAACCAAATCCATTCGTTGAAGAGCAGTAATACTCATTTATCGCTGCATTCAACACCAAAGAGAAGCCCATTCGACTGCCAGCACCAACCGCTGGTCTTGGATAACCATTTCGATTCAATTGTTATTTATTCTGATGAAAAGCCCGTTTCTGAATCGAAAATATTATTAAATTTTTAATTAGTATCAAATTGATTATACCGATAATCATATTGGATTTATTTGACAAATAAAACCTGGATCCCATCGATTTGCCAATCGTTTCCTATAATCATCGCGATGAAATTCCTCCAACGGTCTTGATTTTTGTATAGAAAAGTAGTTACAAACATAATTAGAAAATTCGAAGCGAATATAGGCGTTTAATACTTGGACTAAAATCTCATCATATATATCCTGTGTAGCCCATTGAATTGTCAACAAAGTCCACCGTCGCTAAGCACGCTACTGAATAGTTGCATGCAATCATGTTCAATGCCACCAAATTTACACGATGTGAGCATTTCATTGCATTTCTGCGACACCTGACATTACAAATACACAACATACTCAGTTGAACTATTCATATCAAATGAACTGTGCATTGATTGGTTCACATTCAACAAAACTCGTCGAAAAACAGACCATCTTCTTACTACGGCATTCGTTACATTATCATCGATCGAATTTTGGCATATACCAAAGTGAAGTACCGGGTACTCTTCACTGTAAGCCTTTGTGCTTTGTTCATGTTACATATCTGATGTGAATTTCAATGTATGTTAAAATTGACTGACAATTTGATCGAATTCCTCTATTTTTACATACCGTTATAGCTGGAAATGGAATATCCTTAAAAATTATGGTGTTATTATTAATGATTGGTAAGGAAGATAATTAGTTTACATATATAAAAATCACCTTAATCGATGTTGCTGTTGCACCCCGGGACAGTAACTTTGATTCATGCAATGAAAAAAAATGAAATAAAATTCAAAAAAAGAAAGTTCAACGCAAAATAATTCATATACAATGAAAAAGAGAGACATACTGATCGGATACGCATTCCACTTATTCCAAACATTGCTAATTAAATACCCCGATAGGCAAATAATCAACACAAACATCGATATGAAGAAAAGCCTAGTAAGATTGATAAAAACAAAGTTTGCTCACCGCTCAAACCGATTTATTGTTCTATCTCCAACATACTTTAAGCCTGCAACAGATCAATATCATTATTATTATTGTTTCAAAGAAAATGGACAGTGTTAGAAAAAGTGTAACAGTACAGCGTTGAATTCAGTAAATATTGGTTTGACACGTTGTGATCAGCCTTTTTGGATCATTTTTCACTAAATTCGGTTGAATTTCATTTCTTTTTTCCTGTGTATTGTGCCCACTTGCAAGCGTGGCTCAAACATTTTATTCGTGACTGCCTTTTTCAATGACTAAAATGATTTTGAAATGTGAGCTCAATGCACCTTTTATGCCTGAATAAAATATATGCGAAATGGAGAAAAAAGAGATACGATTCGTATGGCGACACTTGTAATGAAATTCCGGCACGAGAAACGGTATTCCATATCAATTATTTTCTGAACGCTTGAACAAAATGTGGCACTTGAGAATGGCCGGATACATTTTATTTATTGCTCTCGATTTGGATAATAATTGAGTTGACCTTTTTGCAAAGCCATTTGCCCACGAAATGACCAAAATCAATGAAAACGCGAAATGATCTTGAATTAAACACTTTTTAAAAATACACGTCGCATACGAAAAAATAATTCCAGTTGAAAAATGTTGCATCCCTAATGCCGGCTAGCGGTCATAAGTCCGCAAAATTGTCCATCCATCCATCCATTCATTCATTCATTCATCCATTCAACATATGAATGAATGGATGGCTGGTTAATACGAAAAACAGAATAGCCGATTCATCAAGAAGGTCAAACCAGCAGAGTGAATGGATGGACGGATGGATGGATGGATTTAAGAATTCATCTGTATTGACGATAAAGTTGCATCAAATATGGCTTGTTCAACGCGTAATGTGATTCGATTAGAAAAATAAAATATGCGGAAACTCGACAGCAGATAAGTGCAAAAGCACCGTCTATATCATACGTACGCCCATAGATTTTACGAACATTACGCGTTGAACAAGCCATATTTGATGGAACTTTACCGTATATAGAGATGAATTTTTAAATCCATCCATCCATCCATTCACTCTGCAAGTTTGACCTTCTCGATGAGTCGGTTAGTCTGTTCTTCATATTGACCATCCATCCATCATCCATCCATCATCCATTCATCATCCATCCATTCATATGTTGAATGGATGAATAAATGAATGGATGGATGGACCATTTTGTTGACTTATGACCGCTAGCCCTAATGCCATGTCCCCATGCATTTCGAAATAAATCGTTAGCTTTAGGTCGCCAAATTAATAACTTTTATTCGTCGAAAATATTCAAATTTTTATCATTGTTTCATTTTTATCATGCAAAGAGTATAAGAGTATACAAGTATATAGTTGATGATTACATTTGAGCACACAAACAAAATGCGAATTATTCTGAATAATCCTGAATGATATTCCTGACAATTAAAATCGATATAATTATGTGTTTCAAATTAGTGTGGAAAAATGACGTTGCTCATGGTGCTAGTGCTCACAATGTGCGAATTTAATCGCCGTAGTTTAATGTTGTTGAATCGATTAAAACCTCGCTGAACTGTTTAGCGACATCGTTCGTCATCTCTCATGCAATTACAGTAAGGCCGAATGGAGATGGAATAAACGATTTCAATAATGGAAAAAATGCTGGATCCCATGAATAAGCCAAGTAATCCACCGATATTTGCTGAAATGATATGTTTTAAAGGGAGAAATTACCGGAAAAAAGACATTGCGAAATAAACGTACATAAAAATTCAGTGAAACCAATTAGTTTTTCTTTATCTTGTGATCGATAGTATCCCCTCTGGTAGTACACTTGCACTATGGATGCGTTCCCCACCGAAAGGCCTTTCTTCTTCACTTGTGGAGCACCTTCGAATATTGGCGTAGACGAAAGTTCCATTTCGAATTTGATGTCATGACATCCATGTCGTCCATGTGAGTGTGGAACGTCATACAAGTTGATCGTGGTGGTATTGATATCATAACTAAGCAATGGCTCATAGAAATTGGATGAAATAGGTTGATTCTGACAGGAAATAAGCCCATTCAATTGCTC